ATTTTCTTTTCAATATTAGTCGTATGGTTACTGTAGGCAAGCTAGCATTTAACTTATTGTATCAACATATGAGAGATGTTGTTTCTTTCACAATGTATACTTTGTTATATACAAATAAAATAAAGAAATGATGTTTACCTACTTAAAAAATAATAATAATAATAATAATAATAAGTTAATTAATTAAATAATTAAAATACATATTAAAAAAAAAAAACCTTTTTTTATTTCTTTTAAACACTTGAAATTTCTTTTTAGAAAATTTTTAAATTGTTTATTTTTATTTTATTTTTTTTATTTTATTTTATTTTATTTTATTTTTTTTCTACTGTTTTACAAATCTTTTATTAAAATATATATATATTTATTTATTCTTATCAAAGTTAGGTTTTTTTTTACTTTAATTTTTTTTTAATTAGATTTTTCTTTTTTTAAAAATATTATTTTTTATTTTATTATCTTTTGACTAATAAATTTCTCTTTTTTCAAAAATTATTAAAAAGTAACAACTTTTTTTAAAACATAAACTTTGGAAAAAAAATTTTATAGGTTTTAAAAAAAAAAATGGATAATTTATTTTTTTCAAAAAATTAATATAATTATTGTTATTAAATTTGATATTATTTATTAATTGATAATTAGATTAAATGTATTTAAAAAACTATTGCATACTCAAAAAATTATATTTTATAATAATTAAAAAATAATAATAGTTAATATTAATATAACTAACAATAAGCTAAATTAGTTGCAAATATTATATTAATAATTGAAAATTTTAATAGAATAATATTTGAAGATCAAGAATTCTAATTATATTTACAAATAAGTTAATAATAATAATAATAATTTTCACTTATTTTTCAATAATATAGATTAGTTATATAATAACATTTATATGAAATTTCAATTTTATTTTATATTCAATATTTTTTTTAACAAATTACTATTTTATATTTAAATTTTCTTTTTACTTTCTTTTTGTTTTATACTTGAGTTAAATTCTATTCAAATAATTAAATAATATAACTTTGTGTATAAAGTTTTCTATAAAAAACATATGTTTTTTTTTATTTGTTACAAACTTGATTAATTTGTTGAAGTTCTAAAGAGATTAAAGAATATCAAATTCTAGGTGATCAGATAAAAGGTCAATTTTTATTAATAATATTTTAGTCAAGATAGTAGTTATTTAATTATTTGAACAAGTTATTTAATTAAAATTTAAAGTAAAACACACTTTGCCTACTATATATCAAGCCATAATTAAAAAGTAAATATATCAATTCTAATTATAACTTGGAGACTAATCTGTATATAGTAGCTATAGTATCTTTATATAATTAAATAATTAAAATTTTTTAAGTAATTAGATATTATTCAAGATATAATATAAGTTTTGAATTTTTTTTTTTTTATATTCTTGAATAATGTCAAAGAGCTTACATTGATAAGTTGTAATTGTAAATCTTATATTAAACTTTTTTTAGTAAAAAGAGATATATAGTATATTATATTATAAATTGTAAATTTGTAATTGCAAGTCTAAAATTATAATAAAAAATAAAGCATAAGAACTGTCTATTTTTTCAAAATAATAATAATAATAAATTAAATTTATATTCAATTATTTTGTGTTTTTGTTTCTTTGATATAATAAAATCTATATATAATATTAATTAATATACACCCTTTTAATTTAATAAGTTGTTATTAAGATTTTAAACTAATACTAAAATAATATTAAAATAATATTACGTAATTTATGATCAATTTAATATATAAGTTATAAACTATTCTATTAAACTTATAGTAATTTAATATTAACATAATATCATTAGGAATTCTACTTGTCCACCATATCATCTTCTTATTTTCTTAAAATAATTATTTTTCTATTTATAATTTATGTATAAATTCATATATTAAATTCACAAAAAAATTTTTTTAAATCAAATTTTAAAATATAAAAATCATAATATTTTGTTTTTTATATTCTAGAAAATATATTTTTGAAGATTTATAATAAAGAAACAGATAGTTGACTATTTGTTTATTCAATATTAAATGTACACAGTAAATATGGTATTTAAGCAATGATTCTAATTGTAGCATATGTTTAAAATAGGCAGGCTAATTTTAAAAATTAATTTAAGACTGATTTATAGTTTAATTAAACTAATTCTAATCTCCAAGTTCAAGAGATTACCGAGATGCTGTGGTAGATCATGCCCGTGGTTGATTTTCATAACAGACTAGTGAATAATCCGGAAACTTCACATGAGCACTGCTAAGACAGTACAACAAGTTCAAGTTTTTTGAGAACAATGTTACTTTTTTCAATACTATCGATGGAAATCTTTCTTTCATCGCTTTCCGTATATTGATTTAAGGCAAAAATCACCCACATTTTTCAATTTCTGCATTCAAGCGTAAATCATTGCCAAATAAAATTGTTTACCTGGGACATCGAGACGAAATTTGGAAGGAACCGAGATGCTTGTGCCTTTACTTGTGATGTATGTATCCGAGGTTTATTTACAAGTGAAATTTCCGGATCATGCGCGTGGATTTCAGTTTATCATGGAGTTGCTTGTTGATTTGATTAATTAAAAGAGATTGCCTCGTGTATTGGGTTTTTTAAAAACTTTGGCATCATTTTTAAAGCAAGCAACGTACTGTACATTAAGATTGTCAACAATTAAACAATGGTTTTATGTGAGGATTTTTACCAGTGATATAATCCGAAATTTAACTTGAATCATCGTAAAGCGCAACATTGCAGAGAATCTTCTAATGCAATGAAAATAGCAATGTGTACACATAATAGGAAGAGTGACGTTTCTGAAGGCGTGGAGCTCGATTGCAACACGAAGTATGCAGGATGGTGCATCAATATCATTAAAATGTCAGAATAATAAGGAATCCATTTTTTAATAGTTTATTTAGCAATTCTTTGCAATGACCATTATGGCTAATCCTGTTATGAATTTGACATTTAAAGCAAGGCATCGGAAACAAAAAAAAACAAAAAATAGCTTGAATTGCGCTTGAATGAAAATCTAATATGAGCGTCAACAGAGAAACCAATAGCGATTCGTCGAGTGAGAAGGGGGGGGTCTTTGATACAAACACTGATAAAAAGATTGTGAGTATAATTCGTTGAAGTAAAGTAATTCAACGCGCAACCACCTCTTTCCTTACCCCCGATCATTTATAGGATATCGGATTCAAGAAGACTTTGATATTGGCTTTTCAATCGATCGGTACAAAACGTTAATTCCTTAGCAAACCGCAACCAAAAATTCTTACTTCACACACAAATCAAATTCTTTGACAGGTGTCATCTATGGAGACATTGGAACCTCGCCTTTATACGTATACACCGGTATTTTTTCCGATCCGCCAGGTGATAGTAGAGATGTTGTTGGTAACGTACTATACATGCATATCATATTATACACTGTATATGCTTAATAGACACGCACGAAGCATTTAACATCGTTTGTTTTATAGGTGTCTTGTCTTTAATAATTTGGTCTTTGGTGAGCTTTTTCAAAAGATAATTGATTTGATTGGTCAAGGAAGAGCAACTAACCATCTTTTTCACTTATTTCATCAACATAACAATTATGATAGACAATAGTGACATTGATCAAATATGTCTTCTTTATTTTGAGAGCCGATGATAATGGAGAAGGCGGGACTTTTGCTTTGTATTCACTATTAAGTCGGTAAGTCGTACAGGCAGATGGACGCTCGGGAGATTAAGGTGCATTCCGAAATATAGAAATCGATTTTTTGATTTTACAGACATTCCGGGATATCAATTCGAGGAGAACTACGCGTCGATGATTTAACAACCACAGATTATGACGCTATTTCCACACACAGTCGCAATGAAAAACCAAATTTTATCAAAAGAAGCAAGATTGTGCAAAGAGTATTGCTCGTTGTTGTTTTATTCGGAACATCTTTGGTTATGAGCGATGGGTTACTCACACCCGCTATATCGGTAATTTCTGCCGTCGAGGGTATTGCAGTTCCGGCGCCACATCTAATTGATGCGGTCGTTCCCATTAGCTGGTATGTTTCTCAATTTATTTATGGTAATTTTATTATGTAATATTATTTAATGCAAGTTTTACACACGACATTCTCCAAGAATAGTGCTATTATTGTTTTTTTGTTTCTGGGACAGAGTTTCGGCACAGGAAGGGTTGGTGGTTTTTTCGCACCCCTCATTTTTCTTTGGTTTCTCTCTCTTGCCATTATTGGAGTGTGGAATATTACAAAGTATCCAGCCGTTCTAAAAGCCTTAAACCCCTATCACGCTATCAATTACTTTTCCCGAAATGGTGGGCCGAGCTTCGAAGTTCTTGGCGGTGTTCTTTTGGCCATCACAGGGGTAGAGGCATTGTATGCTGATTTAGGTCATTTTAATCGCACCTCCATCCAAATTTCCTTTCCGTTTCTTGTTTACCCGTCTTTACTGCTAGCCTATATGGGCCAAGGAGCTCGCCTTATCTTGGATCCTAATGTGATTACGAATACATTTTGGAAAACTTTGCCGGCTTCCGATGGTCCAATCTATTGGATTATATTTGTCTTGGCCACCGTGGCTACGATCATCGCTTCTCAAGCTATGATTTCTGCCACCTTCTCGTTGATTCATCAGGCGATGCAGTTAGACTGCTTCCCAAGAGTTAAGGTATGCGCCACGCACATACTGTATAACGTGTATCGGCTTGTGTTGTGTTTTAATCATTATCTCTCTCCGCAAGATTGTACACACTTCCAAAAGCGTTGCAGGGCAAATTTATATTCCAGAGGTAGATATCGTCGTACTTTTATTTTCGCAGGGTGCAATGGTGGTAACCTTGATTTTTCTTTCGCCTTTAGATCAATTATCTTCTAATGATCTTCATCGTGATCATTGTGATCATATTCAAGGTAATGTTATTTTTTTTCGGATTTTTTTTTTTTTTTTTTTAGGTTGTAGAGATTAACCGATCGTACCACTCTTTTCATTATTTCCTACTATTATAATAGCACAGCGCAAGCCTGGCTGTGGCTTATGGCAAGTGAAAATCTTATTAGTTTTCATTTAATGTTTTTGGTATTATGTTTTTAATTTTTCAATGGTACATCGTGCAGGTGTGGCTGTGAGCAGTGTTATGTTCATATCAACTATACTCTACACACTTGTTTTGGTTCTTGTTTTTCGGCTTCCAATTTTTGTGGCAGTCTCCTTCTTCTTGGTATTTGGACTCATTGATGTGTCATTTCTGAGCGCGACTCTATTGAAGGTCTCTTCCGGTGGTTGGTTCACTCTAACTATCGGTGTTTTATTGTGCTTATTAATGTTATTGTGGCAATGGGGAACGACACGTACAATTGAATTCGAGCTTGATCGCGAGACTCGACTTGATAAATTATTCGATAACATCGCTTCGGACGAGCTCACGCTCATTGAAGACCAAGACGATGAAAACATAGTAAATAGTGGAGGGAGGCTTCAGCTCTTTAAAACAAGTTTTGTTGTCAATCGCCTCCCTGGTATTAGTCTTTTTTATAAAGAAGTTGGCGTGGGAGTCCCACTGACCTTCAGTCACTTTGTCCAACATTTTCCTGCCATCGCCGAAACTCTCATTTTCATCACGATCTTCCCGGTGCCTGTTCCCATAGTCAGTGAGGAGAGTAAATTGGTTGTACGAAAAATCAGGAATTACGAAGGGATATATCAAGTAATCGCGAGGTATGGTTACATGGAGGATGTTTCTCAGGGCGACAAGTTCATCGAGAAGCTGGTTAACGCACTTTGCAAGGTCGATCCTACCAGCACATGTTTGTCGAAAGGCATCAAAGACACGACGGTCACTTATGTATTAAGTCAGTACTCAATTATTTCGAGACCAAATTCTGCGTGGTGGAAACGCGCTTTGGTGAATGGATACATCTTCCTTATGAATAACTCTCGTCGAATACATGATAGTTGGCATATACCTGTCGAAGATGTAGTCGACATTGGCATAAAGGTTCCTATTTAGGGTGATCGAATCATTGTACTGTATTAAAAAATCAAATTAACCTGTATTTCGCCGGGACAATTGAAATTTGCCCACCTGTGCAACGTCACATTACAATTTTCAATAATAATAAAAAAAAAAAAGGACAAACATAATGAAAAACCTTAATACGTACTAATTGAACACAGAGATAACACCAATCAAGTTTATTACCTGGTGTGAATTAATAACACATTATCCAAGAATTCCATTCTTTCCAAGACGGAATGCCGCAGGAATTCTGTTTTGGAATGGAGCAAAGATCTGTGACGAAACTTTACATATTGTATTATTAAGTATTGAATTTAAGGAACTGCGTCGGAAATATAAAAATAGGAAACAATAATTATCTTTGGTAAACACATGACAAAAGAAGAAGGAACTTTACCACTTCAAGTTTGTGCTAATGTAGGTTCTGCGGTCAATAACGCGCCTAGTGTGGCGGAATTCTTTGTGAGGAAATGTTGGCTTATTGATAATGACCGAAAAGTAAGGAAAAGTTCGTCATAGAATGTTTTCTTCCAGTTATGTCCTGGATTATTGTCAGTGCATGGCTCATGCAGTTGGCGCATGCCAATAGATGTTCCTGAATTTAAACTAATTCAAAAGCCGTTAGGGGTAAAAGTAACCATCATTTTAGGGTGTTTGTCCAGAAATTGGTGTCAACAATTTCAAGTTCTTAACAGATGTTATCACACGAAGGTTCCTATCCGTTCGGTCATCAACGAAAACTTTTATTAGCTTGGCGCCAAGTAAAGAGTATATCAATTCATTAGCCAAGTGAAACGAGAGGATTTGTGTGTGACACATAATTTATTTTGCCGAGGCCCGAGTATTTCCTTTTTCTTCACTTGCCGGACATCTTATCTTTCTTCATTATGACTGTGGCTGAAATTAATCCATTACCATGTGACCAAGATACATGTTGTTTATAATTAATCTGCTAATCCAAATAGGTCCAAAAAACAATACCTTTTTTTTCCCCAAGACACCTTGGCGAGGTTAGAGTATAACGTTGATTAAATAAGGAAAGGTGTCAGGTAAGAGAAACAATCTTGGCAATCACAGGGTTCATGCTGATGCTCATCAAAAAAAAAAAATATTATGCCTAAATGAGGAAAATTTCACTTTGTATAATGTGCCAAACCAGATTGACGCCATTTGAAACGTAGGAATATATAATATATTGGATACGGATGGTTTTACTTGGCTTCTTCAAAAAGAATCCAAGAAGAATGTTTATTCTTTTGTCTACCCAGAATGAATTGTAGAAAATTCCAGTTTTTGTCTTATTCGGGTGCTAGTTGTTACATAGTAACATTAGCGATATGCGGAAACAATAAACAAATCGTTTTTCATTTTTAGTTAGATTAAAAACGATCATTTTCGTTTCTAAATATAGATATCATTATAGAGTTGGCTATGCAGGATGATGATTTCTCTGAAAATGGGTTCGATTGGGAAGAAAGAAAAAGTAATATAAACACTCTCGATAAATTAACGCTAAATTCCGCCTTAATATAGTAAATTCTAAAACGAATTCGATGCGTGTTTGGTTTCTTTCTCTCAGCATCTTACGATTCTATCATGCATTCCTCTTTCTCACAAGCGTAATATTTACCTTCCCAAGTGGGCTTGCGTATGTGAAAATTAACATCAGAAGGGATCATATGTGAGATATTTAAATAGACCATCTACGTCGCATCATTCGTGCATATACAGTAATATGGATTCATGTGTCGTGATTTCAGCAAGAATCCCAATGTTCCGATAAGCTATGACGGATATCATGATCCAAAAAAAAAAAAGCCATCAATTATCAATTATTAGACATTTTTCGAGTGAAGAAAAAATTGTCTCGGGATTTTCGTAAGATTTTCATATCATCAGATTTTCATAGATGTACTCACGTGATATTATTAATCGGCAAAAAAAAAGCCGTGGAGTTTGTGTATATCCGGTGAAAATGTGAGATACCAAAAATGCAAGGTGCACGACACGTAACCATAATTGAGATGGAGAGATGGTCGCAAAATGAACATTTCTCGGCCGAAATGTTAATATTGTACCAATGTTAACAGAAATGAAATGTTATTCAACAGGAAATTTGTTTCGTGAGTTAAGTCGAGTAGGGTAGAAATAAAACAATTAATATTCGCATTCCCAGTTTGTAAACATTAATTCAAAATTCTTTGTTGATGAATTGACAAGAGATTTATATAAACTCTTCGGAAATTAAACAACAAATTAATTAATAAAATATTTAATGCATATATCAAAAATTACCATTTTTTTGTGGACCCTCGAATTTGCGTGATTAAACCTTATTGTTCTTTCATATCACTAGTCACATCCGCACAGACGGGATGTATTTTTGGGGGTCCATTAGTTGAACCCCACACCCTACTTTTTTTTTTTTTTTTTTCTGTAGTCTATTTGATTTGTATAAACAAAATAAATAGTTGTGTTCTAGTATTTTATACTACTGTAAACGTATATTTATTATATAAACTATGCTTCTGTGTTCAAAGGACCAAAATTATATAAATAGGTGACGAGTCAACTTCCAAATTTTTTTCTCTAAATTAAAAGTGTTTCAAACAAAATTATAAAATTCGTTAGCACTTTTTTTCTTCGCATCTTTTCACTTTGCATCTATCTATCTTCACATTCTAAAAACTAAACGAAAATTTAAAAACACATTGACGTTTTCACACATACAAATCTTGTCATAAGAATAAAGGAAAGATGACTGCGACGAAACCAAAGACCACTTGTTCATCTCCATCTTCAAATGATTCATTGAATTCAATGAAACGAACTCCCAATGGTGGCATAGCAAAACGAACTCGAGGGCCTATAAATAAAAGAGCATGCCAAAGATGCCGACAGGGAAAAATAAAATGCGACGGGGATGCAGAAATGGGGAAGCCCTGCTCGAATTGCGATCCTCAGAGTTGCGTCTACGACAATTCGCCTAGAAAGAACAAGCAAGTCGAACAACTTCGACAACGGATGAGCACCCTGGAGGAGCAACTGGTCAATATCGTCAAAGATGTTGACGCAAAATTGACCTTAAAAGATCTCGAAAAAGACGTTTTAATCCTTCTGTGCGAATCAAAGGAGCTCTTTAACGGCTCTGAAGTGTTCCAGGCATTATTAGATGCCATGAGACATGGCAAGCTATTCAAACAACTATTAATACTTACCCACGAACTTTTGCAGAGAATGTCGAGAAACCAAGAACGAATTCCCGAGTTAATTCAAAGCCTACAGCGGGTTTTGGAGCGAGCAGAATTGGACAATGATCCCACAGCCTTTGCTAACGCTCTTTCAGTGGAACAATACCGAAATGTTAATGGAGAGTACGAGCTAGTCTCACCATCTTATAATCCTTCCATCCTCTTGGCCAATTCTCCTGTAATTATAACCGATAGTTCGACGAGTTTACCATCACCTTATGATGGGTGCGATACCACGGCATGCTTAAATAGCCATTCTCCATCAGATGATGGCTCAGAAACCTTGAGCGGAGAATATGGCAGCGGCTCTCCGCCTACTCCAAGCGAACGGCGGCATTCATTGGATAACGATTCAGATTCTTACCATAATTCGTTAAGAGGCTCTTCCCACCAAGTTTCTACCGGTTATTATTATACCAATGCAAATACCTATTACCCATCCGATTATATAGAATATCCTTACTATCTTTCTGAAGCAGCAAACACCACATCACCCACAGACAGTTATATACTATGAAATCATTCACCAAGGCAATTTGTGGGAAGTATAAAAACATCACTTTTTTTATGCACGACTAAGGGTTTATGCAATTAACGCAAGTAGATATTATCATAAGCATTCGCATATATTTCAATGAATTCGCAGAAAAAGAACAAATTCGATAGATTAAGAATTTTCAATTCTTTTTTTTTTTTTTTTGCCTTTTTTTCCCTCTCAAAAACAAAAAAAAAAACAAAAAAAAAAATTATGGGAAACATAATTAATCTTGTTTTATATATTTCATACTTTTTTTATCTATTCTCTTTCATGACAACGATCAAAGTTTAAACGGAAATGAAGGCATACTGTGATATTTTGTGTACATAATATATACATGCCTTTGACTCGAGAATACGTTGGTTTTTTGTTTTTTCTTTCTATATATAATTATTTTTGTATATTTCCCTCTCGATTGTATTCAGATTTTGTACCTTTCACACGTAAGAATTCTATTTATGTACAAAAAAGAAAAAATAATTGCTAATAAACTTGTAAAAAAAAGAAAAAAAATATATTTTTTTCTTGAGAATCAGGTCTTTTCTTTTTGGTCTAAATGATAATGATGACGTTTAACTGGCATGCGATTAATTCTTTTATCCAGTCTTAATGTCCAAATAATAAACTGCAGGTGCATAACTGTACAGTAACAACTCTTTGTTTGCACAGAATAAATTAATATACAGTATTTAATTTTTATAGCCGCAGGAATATTTCTCGATAATTCTTTCGTGACTCACATAGAATAACTGACTTCTTGAATTCATTTATGTAATCAATAATAAATTTATTATTTTTTTTTTTTTGCTAAAATTACGACCTACAGTAAAATTCGTTTGTATTTGGTTATCAATCAAAGATTCGGGTACCGGCACAAACCATTTACCCTTCTCCAGAAATTAGATAATCATAATCATCAAGTTTTGTTTGCACAGTGAAAATATTCTTTCATGAAACCCGAAAAGAGTTTATATAAAGCAACCCATACAGCTTTATTTCGGTTTATATAATCTTGTAATGCTTTATATACCACTACCCAAGTTTTTAATAACCCCAAAACTATTTATCACGGAAAGTGGTGTGATTTTTGACTATTAACATCCAACTTGTGCCGGTTCACCTAATAGCCTTTATTAAAGATAATCTTGTAAGTCAACAACAACCACTCTTTAGCTCCTTGCCTGTCGCGACTTGCCACGTGGACATGCATACACGTGGCACCATGTAAAAACAGTAAGAATACCATTTTCAGACCTGTCAGATTACTAACTAGCCAAGAGTCGACTTGTCGCAGCGATCAGAATTTTGCCAAAGATTCACAATAATAGAGTATGCTCGTATTCGTCCTTTGAAATCCATTCATCTACGTGGTGTCACATTTTTAATGGAGGAGAACTGCCATTCATTCCCTTTTAGTATTAGAAGAAGAGTGACTTTTATTTTTAATAAACATGAAACAAAACAAATGAATCACGCAAAGTTTTCTGAATTAGTTTCTGAGTTAGCATGCGTGGCATCATTTTGTGAGAACGTGGAAAAGAAAAAATATATATATACATAATGTCATACAGGTTGAATGCGTAAACCTCAAGAACAAAGAAAGATATTCGAAACAAGGAAAGAAAAATTCTTGTTGCATAATTGGACGCGAGTTATGTGTAAAATTTAATTTTTAAATGCAAAGTCTTTGATATGGTGTTGGTTACATTCATTAAACTGGGTTTTATTACCCCAGAAAATAAAAAAGAACTCACCGCGATAACAAAGAACATCAAACCATTCCCCAATAATATCCTTATTTCATGGTTTTTTTACTTTAAGGATGTGATACGTATACATTAGTTTAAGTGAACGATATTTGTGGATTTAGTGCTACACAGACCCACAGACCATTGATTCCACAATCACATTTACTTGTATCACACAAAATATTGTGGCGCGTATCAATTGTTCAATGTGACAATCTCTTCGAGAGAAAGACGCTTTGTTCGAAACATACCCCAACATTTGAATAACAGCAGTATATTTCAAATAATCACTTTTACTTGATATAAAATTGAAAATTGTATTAACAATGAACACTATGCAATATATTCATTCATTTTTTAATTCTAATCTCTCATATTGCACGTACATAATTACAATTTGCCTTCTTTTAACATGTATTTTTTCACTTCAATTAATTTTTTATACAATAGCCATAAATTTTATATTGGTTTCTTCTGTGAAATTAGTAACTATTAAATAAATGTAGATGTCGAATACCTTGTTTGTGAAGGTTAGGGGGTTTTTTTTTCTGATATAATGTTGTTTGATAGTATATTTTGCAAAGAATGATGCTAAGTTTTGAATGGTCATAGCTAAGAATGGGCTTTGAAATCATTTTGCATATAAAATTTCACAAATCGATTATATCTATTTTAAAAAACAATTATTTGCTTATTATTTTATAGTAATATAATTCAAAAATATTTGGATTAAGTGATTTAGATTGCAAAAAATTTTATAAAAAATTTTTATCTTATCTTATATTCTTAAAAAAACTTTTTTTTTTTTATTTAATAAGCCATAATTGAATTTTATATTTATTTTTAATTTATTAAATTGAATTAAAAAAAGTAAATATATTGTAAATCAAAAAACATTGTAATTAAAAATATTTTTTTCAAAAGAATTATAAATTAAAAGGTTTTAAAAAACTATTTAGTATTTTTTAGATAATAATATTTTTTTCAAAAGAATTAAAAATTAAAAAGGTTTAAAAATATTTGGTATTTTTTAGACAATAATATTTTTTTAAAATCAAAAGGTCTAAAAACTTTGTTTTTTTTTTAATATAAAAATTTTTTTAAAGTTTTTTAAATTTATCTTTAGAATAGAAATATAATATAATTTATTGAATATAAAACATTATAAAAAAATTTGATTAATATAAATATAAATATCAATAAAATTAAATAATAATTTTAAAAGTTGTTTTTAAATAACATAATAAAATATTTTTATAATACTAATTAACAAAATTATTATTATATTATAATAATTAATTATATAATATTAAAAATATATTGATTTTGATATAAAATAAATAAATATATATACAATATATAATAATATAATAAATTTAATTTAAACTTTATTATTATTATTTTTAAAAAGATTTTTTCTTATAAATAAACATTATTTTTTTATTTGATTTGTATTATATATAATATATTGTTACACTTGATCTTCACCCAAAATCATCACTATCTCTTGCCCGATTTTTACTAGCATTTACCCTTGAAATGTTATCCATTCTAGAATAATTCTTGTATTACTATCTTTGTTA